TTTCTATAAAAGTAATTATTTAAATACAATCTGATTCAATTCAGAGTATCACAGCTTGAGAGCTGTAAAGAATGTTCTGAAAGAATGGGTCTGGAAGCAGTCTGGCATTTAAAAATGCAATTAAATTTTCTTAGTCGATCAAGTTGGGACCAATGTACATCTTTTGTGGCAGATGAAAGCTCTTTAGGTGTGTCAGTAACTTTAATCTCTGAGAAAATGAGCATGTTTCTGCCATTATAACTGTAATTATTAAAAGAAAATCACCTTTTTGTCTTCCTATTTCTTGTGCACTTAAAAGTTAATGCGGAAATTATCCTTTAAATTTTAGTGCTGCATATGGGGTTTATAAAGTGCAGTTAATGAGTCTGAAGTGTAATAAAGCTGGTTATGTTTGGGGGTGAAGTTAATGTAAAAGGTGATGTTATACTGTAACATCTCTGGATACAGTAACTACTATATGTCCCTGTTTTCATAGGTCTTCGATAAAATTGTAGTTCTACTGAAATAAAGGGGAAATTTCTCATTGAGAAAAAGGAGCAAGATTTCTTTCCTTGATTTTTTTTTTTCACTGTGTTTAGCGTGAGAAGTCTCAGGTTACTGATTGGATAATGGGTACTTGCAAGAGTAGGTGTTTCAGAACTGGGTCCAGTAAGCCAGAATGTGCAATCTTTACTTAATCCCATCATCCCATCTCTGCATGACTAGTTTATTTTGCTAAAGATCCCAGTAATCATTTCCACCTTTTATACTGCCATGAATATGTTGAATTACTAAAAGATATTCCACTTTTTTTTTTTTTGGGGGGGGGGGAGAGATCATTTCCTACAACATAAACTAGAATAGATTATGCTGTTTTGTTACAGTGAAAATCAAAATGTTACCCTTAGTTACATATTACTGATCAGCATTTCTTCCTCAAATGGTACGTGCCCTTAAAATGCCTATACTATGTTAAACAATATGTGGTGCATAAGAGTAGTGGAGTATTAGAGACTCTATTATTAAAAGCACAAAGTGTTTATTTCTGAGAAATATGTTGGCTGAAAGAACATCTGAATATTGCTATAGTCGGAATTTTCAAGCCTTTTTCAAAATGCATCTTGCATTTCAGAACAAGCTAGAATGAAAAAAGTAGGAAGCAGTCATTTTTGCCTGCTTTTTTAATATGAAACTTGAAATATTTCAATCATTAAAAGGAAACTGAATAGCAATAGAAACAAGAATGCTTTCAAATAAAATAATGAAAACTAATAACAGTTCTCTGAGATTATGAGAAAAATATTATTAGGAACAATGATATAATCTGAAAGGTAAAATAAATACCTATTTCATCAAAGATGAAGCAGAGCTAGATACTTTCTTCAGAAAGCCATTGAGACTGTAAATGCTGAAGAAGGCCACTGAGTCAGAAAGTTAGATAGCCTTTCTCTTCTTAAGAGTATAACATAGTTTGAAGGTGAAAAATGTGCCGAGGCAAAAGAGGTTGGCCACTGCACATAGCACAGACATTGGTTCTGCTGTGCGGATTTAGGGATAAGGCTGTGGGAGTCTGACTGTAGGGCAGAGGCCCAGATCGTTGTATTTTTATTTTGGCTTAAGACCATGCGAAGACAAGGAAACTAGCTTATTTGCTCTATGTGCAGTGATAGCAGGGCTAATTGTGAATGGAATTGGAAAAGATTGGACCTTTGGAATGCTGTTGGATCGAAAAAATAGAGCTGGTGATACAATGGCAATGTTCTGATTTTTGCTTTGGAGGCAAACAGGTAGGACCATAATAATTCAAGTTTTACCTCCTGCTTCACTGCTTTCTGCTGTATTGATATTAGAAGGATATTAGTGGTATAGTTTATTTGGAAAAATGACGGATTTTTTTGGTTAAAATGCAGTTAGATAGTTTTATTGCTTCTATTTAACTGGTCAAATGCCAGAATAAAACATGAGTACAATTATGTATTAAAATGCCATAACAGTTCTTTAATAAGCTATTTGAATATTTTTGCTCACTTTGGCTATTGGTGTAGAACACAGGATGGTTAAGGATAGGTTTCAAAGCATATGAATTTTACTTCTGCTTTGTAAATCACCATTGTGCGTCAGCTGCAACATACACATGAGACAAGTAGATTTTTTCCATGCACCCTAGGCAGTGGATATCTTTGAAGTTTGGGAAGACTAACGTATTATGTAAGTGATTTCCCTGTTTGTGATTTTCTGAACGTTAGGTAGAAATACGGTCTTATTATTTGTATAGAATTGGGGATGGAAGCTTCCCAGACCTTCTCCTCCTAGCTCATTTACGTGACACAGAGAAGGTTTTGGCTTAAAATACTTTACTAAGAAAAGAGACCTGAGGTTAAATACTGAGAGACCACTAAGGCTGTAAGAAGCTTCTTTGAAAGAAGGCTAAAGAAACCAGGTACAGACGAGTGGATAATATGTGTTTAAGAGTGATATGAAGACTGGGATATTTGTCAATGGGGAAATGTTATACATTATGTCATTATTCTTGTCTTTTTAGAAGGATTGTAGTGCCCGGAAGCCCATTATGGATAGGAATTTGTAATGCTCAACCAAATAGAAATAAATACTCAGGGACAAGCTCCACATTGGATAGATCTGTGTCTGAGAACTGGCTAAACAAATCCTGTTATGGCATTGCGTGGTTAATGCAGTACCGTTTTATAGCAGTTATGCTGCAGTTATAGTTCAAAGAGGTGCTCATGAAAGAACAGTTTACTAACTAGTAGTGGTGTTGCTTTGAGTCCTGAAATACCCTACCTTGTGCTAATACAATTTACTGAATAAGCTATAGCAATGTATGCATGTGTAATGGAATAACTACACGCCGTGGAGAGGTTCTGGTTTAAATGCCATGGTTTCTAAAACAACGTATTGATACAGAAATAGGTGCAGTTTTATCTTAACTTAAAACAGCCTCTGCGGGACTTTAATTTTTCTTTTCAAGATCTCCTGATAACCCTTGGAAGCCCAGAATTGTGATAGAATTATGAAACCACACCTGCACGCATGTGGAATGCATCCTTTTTGCTAAGTCCTGGAGCTTTGACCAGTTAACAGTCCTCTGTCAGTCAGATGGGGCTCCTACATAAAACTTCTGCATGCAATTAAAATGGAATTCAAGTATTTCAGAATAATGAATATTGGATTCTCTTGCTGAAAGATTAATCATTTGCATAATTACAAAGATTTGTGCGATTTAAGTATCTATGTATTGATGTAAAATAAAATCAGTACTAAGGAGATTTTTGCTCATTTACCATATACTGACTGGTGTTTTCCCATCAGTATTTGTAGTATAAATTGGTCCATTTGCCTCGTTGTACCTCATTTTTCACATAAAATGAAACAGTATGATAGTATTTATTTAGTATGATGAAATGAAACAAAGACAAAGTAAAAGCCACAACCGTGGAGTTCTTTGTTTTTTTTTTTTTTTAAATACAGACTTGGTAAATATTTGAACATTTTTGTTATTTAACTCCACAACTCTGTTTATGACACAAGTTAATGTGACATGCTTAGTTCTAATAAAAGAGACATAATGAAAAACTTCTCATTCATGCTAAATGTGCATGAAAGGATAGGAACTCTGATTTAATTTTAGGATACATTTCCTAAGTGCTAATGATAGCTTAACGGCTCCTCTGCAGTCAGGAGTTATACTCTGAAGAGTTTAGACAACTGCTGAATGGTTTGAATCATTAATAAGCCCATCCTTAAATTCTTTTTTTTTTTTTCTTGCTGCTCTTTGCTAATAGCTAGTTAAGAGTAATGAGAACTACATACATAATATAACTCTTAGCCCCGTTATTGAAAAATAGAAGATGAATACTTGCATTTTGGAGACTACAGAAGCAGACATTTAAAAAACCTTTGTTGGACAGATGTGTTGCTTTTTTCTTTTCTGAGCTTGCTTTTATTTTGTTGGATCAGCCTAAGTTCTAGTCATGCAGAATTTTTTGGGTAGCCTCATCTGATATTAGGCTTTTTTACTTTATAGTTAATAGAGCTTTATATTTTGATGTTGCAGAGACCTCAAAAATGTTCCATATGCAGTGGTGGTAAAGATAGATAATTATGGGGTAAATGTCACTAGTGGTTAACACCCCATGGCCGCTGTATGTGTATTTCTGTTATGTAACTGTCAGGAATGTGTTTGAGTCCTGGAGCTATAATTTATGTACAAAGATGATAACAGATTTTCTGATATGTTAAATAAAAAAAGAGGGGGAGAGAAAGGAGGAAGGAAGCAGGTAGCTGTGACACCGTTAAGAAAATTTACCCTGCTCTCAATGAAATCTCATGACAGCAAGGCGTCAAGTAAAGGCTTATCTGGACAGGCCAGATCTGTACCTCCATTAGACTCAACAACATAAATTTAGGCAGTGGAGTGGGAGATGTAAATGTCTACAGCTTATGTTGACTTAAAAGAGGTCTACAGAGCGCTCAGCGCTTTTGGAAACAAGGCCACATATGTAGTCCGCTACAGATTTTTAAATTCTTGCTATATGATCTCTATCACAATTTCTAAATTGGAATTAGATTTGCATTCCCCTTAAGATCAGGTACCCTTAGTAAAGATAATAGTCTTTCCTTTTTATTTAAAAAGGAATTTAGAAATATCTTATGCTTTATGCTCTACAGAAATTCACCTCATATAGATTTATTATCACTATATTGTGCTTACAGGGTGGAAGATGAGGTATTAAATAGACAGTGTAAGTTATTTTGTTCAACAGTTTTCAGAAGTTATAATACTGGTTCCTTTTCTGCATATATGACAATGCTCAAGGTATAACGAAGTTGTACAATTAATAGTAACAATTATTTAGTAGGTATTTCTTTTAGAATTGTGCTCTTTCAGTTGTGCGTGATGTCAGGAAAACAGGAATATATTAGATTAGAATGCTGTTATATTATGAATGGGTTTAAATATTAAGCAATTCAGACTACTTTTCTCTGTCTTTTGCAGATTCACAGGCAGGTATGGACCTAAGTAATTCTCAGGAACAGCCAATGGCTGCAGGTACTATGCTTTTCAAGTTCTATTTTTTTCACCCTCTCCTGAAAATAATAATTTTAAGTGGAGAAAAATACAAGAATTGCAGCTTGTTCAGACTCCCAGGAAACTGAAAAACAGCCATAAATGTGAAGATGGACATTAAAGGAAAAAAAGTATATTTCAGAATTGAAATAAAATAATGCAAGTTCAGTATAAGATTGAAAAATGATACCAAAGAAAACAAGACTGTATAGTAGGAAAAGAGTGTTTTCAGAATAAAGATGGAAGTTTTGCTAAGGATGCAAGAGTAACTGATCCTTTTCGTTGACTGCATTTTTGAAAAGCTGAAAACAGACCTCTGTGTGAGTTGGACAAGTATTTTACTTTTTAGCTAATCAAAAATAAAACTTTTTTTTCAGATTCAATGTAATATTTAGCTTGAAGAAGTGTTTATTTTACTATCCAAATGTTAAATTTAAAACAGTTTTAGATGTTACTTTGAATTTTAAAAGTTTACAGAATTGTTTAAAGAAAGCATTGTTCTTTTAAACAATAGCTGAAACTTACAGAAATATGCAAAATATTGAGTTGATCTGCATAATATTGTTTTATGAAAGAAGCTTTAGTTGAAAAACTTCCCCCGAACAAATTTTATTATATCTGTAACTATGGTTTTCCTTCAGATAAGAGGCTTGGAATACTGGGACATACTGCTGCAGCAGTGATGAGCAGAAAACGTTCTGATAGTGTTGATGTTTAAAAACATACATGTGAAATAAGCCTAAAAGTCCAGTTGCGTTCAAAGAGGCTTCAAATTAAACATGTGCTTCAGCAGGTTCTTGGATTGGGGCCAGAGCAATTAACATTTTGCCCCAAATGAACAGAGTAAGGTTGTGATTCCTCTTCCATGCTTTGAAGAGCTTGCTTGCTTACCTATTATCAGCAGTTACTGGCATAAATAAGACATATACAGTAACATATACTTAATTCATTCCTGTTTTGTTCTCAGTTAGAACAATCTCCAGAAGAGTTAAATCTAAGCAAAAGCTGAAGTTATTTAAAGATGCTTACGCTGTGTAAGGTTTTTGTACTCTTTTTGGAGATCTAAGCAAATCCCTTCAGCCAAATTGCAATCTAATGCATTTATAGAAAGATTGTTACGAGCGTTGTGAACAATATTGGGAGTTTGCAGATACTTTGAGGTAATTGCCTGGAAATATTCTTGGAGCATAAATTGTTAATTACTATTTTTAACAATTCCCTTTTTTCAGAAGGACAGGAGGTTTTGAAAGACTGTAATTTGAACAAATCCCAGGAAATGGAAAGTATGGATAATGTGGAGGAGATGAAGGAACACAATCAGTCTAGTGAAGAAGCAGCAGGTAAAGTGGGGATTGAATCATGAAAATTAATAGTTACATTTTGTCCTCTTTTACTCATCTGATTATGCTGTGATAATGATCAAAAAGTTTATTCTGGATCATGGCTGCCTTTTGCCTACATGCCTGCAAAAGGAATAAAGATACGATTACAGCTTAGAGCGTTTTAACGTTTATTCCTTGATCACGTAGAGGGGAGCAACTGTTCTCTATTAGGGAACCTCACATGCATTGGATAAAGGTCACTTATACAGGATCTGTGAAATATGGATAAGATAAACAAAAAGTGTATGTGTATGATGAGCTCTTTTAATGCATCATAGCATACAAACGCTAAGAAAAGTGTGTCTTCCCATTAGAGTTTTTAACATACTCTTTACTATTACCTATTGGATCACAATAGGGAGAAGAAAGCATGTTTTATGTCATCACGAATATAAAGTTTGGAGGTAATGGAAAACCTTCAGATAAAGAGATGTGGAATAAACTGATTTATCTGATAGGTGGGTAGTGAACTGCATGCGGACTCATTCTCCCAAAAGTAATCTCTTATTACTGAAACTAATTCACGAAAATCCTTTTTGGAAAAAAAAGTAGTTTGCCTATGACAAATGTATGTGTTCGGACAGCACTTGTTTATCAATATTATTAAGCTACTGTGACATCTAAAAATAATCAGACAAATTTCTTTTTTTGGAAAAACAGGACAGGTTATTTTGAATTCATAGAACAACTCAGCCTTGTACAATTTAAAATATAGAGGTAATCCCCTACTTCAAAACATGGGGGAAGAAAAGTTTGGTCAGCTCCCCATGTTTATGGTATAATTCAAGGAGTAAACACTTGCTAGTAATTTCTTAAAGGAGACAAAGATGTAAGTAAAACATTAAAAGAATATGTATTATTTTTATTTAAAAGAGAACCTACATAAGTGTATCTTTCTGTGCATCTTTAAAAACTGTTAGGACCTCTGAAGTGACTAGATAAAAGAAGCAGCTCCTGGGCTCTCAGCAGCCTTACAGGACCTTGGAGTCCAGAGTTTATAAAGGCATATTGCATATATGCAGAGCAAGAGGCCTTGAATTTCTTCCTTGGTGTAGAAGCTCATAAACTGAAATCACAGCATTAATAAACATTCCTGCCAGTGAGCTGAGTGTGTTCATTTATGCCAGTTCTCAACCACAAAGTGAAAAATGCTGCCTGGTAGAGGATGTGGTATATATACTGAGGAAAAGATATACATGGTTTTACCAGTTTCATGTTGCCTCTCAAGTACAGCATGTCCATGGAACTATACTAGTGTCAAGGCAAATTACATCTGTGGCTTTGGTTAGTAGTTTTCTGAGGTAGGGTTTACATATCGCATAAATCAAGTAAATCACTAAAGGATTGTCTAGGTTTTGGTCAGCTAGCTAGCCTGGGTTGTTCCCGTAACATAAATGTGATGATTTAATTTTGAATTAAAATGAAATATTCAAATTTTGAACTTCTGAATTACTAAAAATAAAACTTTTATCTATTTAACAAAGCACAAAATGATACAGAAGCAGAAGGGCGTGCTGCACTAGCGAAAGAGATCATGCTAAGTGTTAAATTCATCTCACTTAGGCACCAGTGCTTTAGGTATCTATAACTGAACTAGTATCCAGCCTTCCTTGACAGTCGGTGGAGAGAAATAGCGTGCACTGATTTGGGTGCCTGGTTTACGATGAACTGTCTTGTGTCCCCAAAGTAGCTGCTTCTTGTGAGGACTCCTTTTATTGTCAGTGGAGAGTAGCTCTGTATAGATGTCTGCATTATAGAATCTTAACTTGGGCAGATGAATTCCACTTTGCTTACCCTAAAAAGGGAAGTGTAATGTTTTTATTTGCAGAGCATGCACAGTGAGTGTATAAACGGCCTCCTTATCACAGTAAGTGGAGTGTCTTACTTCTACCAAAGAATGGACAAAAATAGGGAAGATGATTTTTTTTTCCAAAAGTATTTAGACACCCCCAGTAAGAATCATTAAATTTAACTTAGAAGCTGACATTGTAGACAGGAATGTCTGAGCTGGTTATCTAGACTTCTTTCATAGTCTGTGCGGAGAAGCAGATTCTACTGTAGCTTCACCAGTTTTACAAATCTACTTTAGAATGAGATGAAATGTGCTCTAGAAGCTGCCTTCAGTGTGTGTCTGAAAAATAGTCTAGAAAGCCATCTCAGATGGAATCATCAACAGTGTGGTTATTTCAAGTCAGACTAACTAAATTTTACCCAAGAGATGCAGATAGATGCTGAGGAAGATTTTTGAAAACGTCTGTGTAGCTAGCTGAGTACCTTATAATTTGGTGGAACTGGGAAAAACGTCACGTGCTTTTGAAAATCATATCAGACAGCTATGTACATCATTACACATCTGAATACTTCAAAACAAGAAAAACCCCAAAGTGGCTTGAACCTGTTCTATATCCAAGGCTTCTGACAGCTCTTTCAGATCCCACAGCACATCAGATATTCACCACTATAGTTCAGCTGTTAGTCCATCCCTGATAACCATTCTGCCTACACTAGATAACTTCTTATCTCTCCTTTCCCAGTATCCCTGCCATTTGTTCCTCATAGTCACTAAGCTGTGGATATAGGAAGCTTTCTTTCACAAACCCCTCAAAATTGACCATCCAAGAGGCTTCTTCCCACCTTCCTGTTCCAGGAGCCCTGCCTATACCACTTGCACGTTATCATGGCATCAAGAAACTCTTTTTTTTTTTTGTAACTATCCCATGCCCTTCAGCTTCAGTAATGTTTCTCTAAGGTTCTTTGCCATACATTTGAGGTACAGTTCATGCACTTCTAAAAGAATGCTTATATTGATGCTGCTCTTTTTTCACCATTCATTTTTCTTCTATTACTGTTGATGCCTTTCAGGTCTCTTTACAATTTGTTCTTGAAGCAAGGTCTGAAAATTTACACATCAAAGATAACATTTTAAATATCAATAGAAGAGCAGTTCATTCTTTGATAGACTCCCTTACCACTAGAGTGTTCATTCATTATAAATGTGAATATAAAGCTACTCAGTACCGTGATCTGTTCTGTGATTCTCACTACAGAAGTAAAGAGATGATTACTAGGAGAGAAACAAAAATGAATGCTACTGTATCTCTGTAAAATGGCACAGAAATACATATTGTTTGCTTCATTGCTTCACATAGTTCTCTACCATCATTCTGATCCTGGAAGCACAATAAATCTTAAATATTTGAAGCGTGCTGTGGTGGTACTTCAAGCTGTGCTATATCATTAGGTGCATATAAATTTCTTCCTAAAGACTGATGCCGGTCCAGTTGGTGTTGGATTCTAAAATTTACCAATAATCTTACCTTCCATGTCAAGTCTACTATACAAAATGCAGTGGGTATGACAATAACAGCCATGTTAGTCACTGACAGTCCTTGTGGGTCAATAACTATCTATCTAGCTTCCAGAGAAGTGAAACCACGTTCGGATGCTGCTGGTATGGTGGGAGTATTATCTTCTGGGGATCACTAACCCTTATAAAAGTGAATATATAGTATTCTCCAGAATCACAGAATAGAAATATCAGTATCAGTGAAAGCTAGTTGGAAACTGATTGCCTTCTGCCTACACCTGAAAAGTGTGGCTATTAAAAAATTCTGACATTTGACACTTTCCCAGATGAACGATTTTATAAATGTGTGTATATCTTGCTGTGATCCCCTAATATGCTCATTATATATTAAATGTGAAGAGAGGGAAAAGCAGAACTTTATATGTAGTTCTCATTAATTATGGTATCCTCCACAATCCCTTCCTTTTGTAGGTGAACAATTCCACTTCAGTGTCTGTACTTTCACATTCATTGTTGATGATGGCATACTATACAGCAAATTCTCCTTTTTTATCCTGAAGCCCTGCATGATCTATGCCCACAGGGTTTGTTCCATCTACTGAGGGCTATCATAAGAAGAGCATGAGACCACTGACTCATATAGTGAAATCCAACTTTTGATAGTCTGCTTTCCTCTGCCTTAATACGTATCTATAGCGATATTTTTCATCAATATGATTATGTCTGTTTTTTCCATGTTTCATGAGTAAGCATTCATACTAAGTAGTAATCATCTAAATTCTTAGACTATACTGTTATTTTTGTGGCTCTTGCATTATTAATGGGTGTCACTGAATACATCATGGGAACTTCTGTTCAAAGTCTGAGAGTATAGAGATTGATCAAATCTAGATGCTGTCTACTCTAGTTTGGTGGAACCTTTTATGTTAGGCCTGCAGAAAGGGATACTGCAATCTTGTCAGAAGGCTATAGAAATTTCATAAAGATATTAAATAAACTAGTTGATAGTGTCAAAGTGTCGTTAGGACTAGCGCCTTTTTGATGAAAAAATGCACTTTGCAGCTAACAATTTCAAATTTGTACTTCTCTGTGCATGTCCAAACACTGGCTGATGTTTTGTTCGTTCTGCCTGTGTCATAACCAACAGAGAAAGATTCCTTTCAATGAGTGCAATTCAACCAGTCATATCATACAGTCCTTCTAAAAGGGCTTCAGCTATGATAATCGCTAAGTAGAGGGCAAACAGTTAAGATAGAAGACTATAGTAATATGTTAATTAAAAGCTTGATGGAGGACAAAAAAAAAGTGGAAACCTTTCCCCCTACCCCAAGGGAATTAAGCTGCATGCTGTGGTGCACATGGTGCATGCTTGTGTGCAACCATAAAGCTACACTGTTTCCATGGTGCTTCCTATATCTAGAAGGATTTTGATTTCCCTTGCTTCTTTTTGCACACCCACCACTGCAACCATGAGTGGCCAATGTTGAAGAGTCCCTAATTTAAAAATTAAATAAAAAATACGTTCTTTCCCATGAGAGTTGCAGTCAAGCACAAGTGTTCAATTATGTCTTAATTCCCTCATCTGTTGAGGCAGACAACTTTTTCGGTGTTGTGAATGTTAGCTAGCTTTCATGGTTGTGAAATAAAAAGA